GGGGGGGACACTATACTTAAAATTCCAGCCGCCTAGCTTTTGTGGTTCCCTTGTTGAAAGTGCGCGACAAAACGCACTCGGACACACATACACAAACACACACACATACACATACACGCAGACAAACCCGTGACAATATGCGTTTTGTACCGCTGTTACACAGCATAATACGCATAAAAAATACAAGAAACTGATTTTTTTTGGCATATTGCAACCGGAGTCCCATACAACCGTCAGGACTTTTAATCAATTTTTCATATCTTCCTTTAACGACCAGTCTGGAATTTTATCAGTGAAATCGGAGAAATAGCAAATAGAGAAGTTCCCAGATGCACTAAAGGCCATAGATGCGGTATTGAAACAAAAGCTGATCAGACCTGATCAAACCAATTCTAGGGTCAACCTGGATGCTGCAATTTGTTTAGCAAAAAAAGTTCGAATTCAAAATGCTTGCCTTTTCCAAATCACTGATTCGGTTCCGGTAAGATATCTGCTCCTTTTTGAGCGTATTCACAAGTTGTGTTAATCGCTGAATATCGCCCACAAATTTACTTTCGACATGTTGCCGTATAATTTTTTCCGATATCAGCTTTTGCTTGTATGAATTTTTTCGCTCTTCTTCTCGATGAAGACGATAAAGCAGAGTGTCAACCTTTGTTTCAAGCGCCTGCAAAATCAGTTGCTACTGCTCTTAGTTACTTTTTCGAAGCAGAAACCAGTGGCGCATTTATCCCAAAACGAACTTCCGTCCCATTTCCTGCCTTTTTTTTATTGTAAATTTGAATTTTCCGGTTGAAAAAAGTAAAAAATACGATGAGCCAAGCATATTGTTCGCCTTGTAAAATCACTGGACGTTGCCTCTTTAGTGAGTAATGCTCGTCGGACAAACGCCGAAGAAGTAACATACATCGAACAGGTGATGGGTACTAAATCCAAGTATGAAGGGCAAGAACGAAGGACCTGGCAGAGCTGCGCACGGCATGTGGGAGCATACCAGTAACATCACTAACTTGGGATTCCTTATTCGGGCCCTCTTGATATTCTTGGTATGTTACTTTTAAGCTTTATTTTTCTGACCCAGTTAACTGATTTTAACGCACATGAGCATCTTACAACTGTTTTTTCTTCTTTTTTTTTTATTGAAATTTTGCACCACTTTGACCACAGCTACGTCTCGCCAAATGAAAACCCTGGCTCAAATGCTCGTTCACTTATTGCCCCCTCCCCTCTCTTTCTCATGGCCTTCTTCCCCCCTCCTCCCTCTCCCCTCCTTCCTCTCCTATATTTTTCTTCCTATATGATTGATAAGGGTTCACTTATTATCCTCCCCTTCCTTCTCTTCGCCCTCTTCCCCACCCCCTTCCCCTTTCTTTTCTCCCTGCCCCTCCCCAACGGTCTTCTACATGATAACAGTGTCTCAAGGTGCAAACAGAGGATGCTTTTGAAAAGTAAAAAAAGGCTGTTTTTTTTAAAATAAGACCAGTTTTACAACGTATTTCGTCAGATTTCTTTCATACTTTAGTATTATAAAATGCCAAAACATACTTGCACAGCTTCATCATTGTTCATACCCAGTTCACCCTGTGAATCAAACGAATCATCCGAATCCACCAGTTCCGTGTCATAAACATTTTTACTGAGCAGCATGTCTCGATCACGAAATCGTTCACTACCAATGTACGAACGTTTCCCATATCTCGCACTATTCTAAAAAAATGCTTTTTTCCTGTGAAAACATTGCATGTTTTACTCAAATTCACTAATGTTGTCTTTTATCGAACTCATTCCGTGGATTATGAATCAGATATGCCAAGACTAACTTTTTCTTGATGACTGAAGATCTGACTGAATGACTTTATTGAAACTGGCTAACGTAATAGAAGAATAGAAGTATTTTAGGATTTCATTAAACCGTTAAGCAGATTGCAGCATCCAGGTTGACTCTGGAGGTGCAGATGGCGAAGGTGCGAAGGAATTCAGGAGGAAAACCCTGTTGCAATGTCCTAACTGTTAGTTCCCTCTAAGATTAAGAATGGGAATTTGTCGAAAAATCATACAGTTATGTGCTTTTCTTCACTTCCCACATCCTTTTCGCAATTCTCTCCCTTTTAACTTCCTACCTTGTATACTTTTCCCCTTTTAGGATCATAATACCTAAGTAAGAATGAGAAGAAATCACAGGAAAAAACTAATAGTAAGAGTAAAACAGAAAATGATGATTTTTAATTAAGTTTTATTTCAGACTAGTCCAAAAAAGCATGAAAATATATAAAGAAAACAGTGCGCCCTTCAAAATCAGTATGACGGACGTAATGAAATTTGAGCGTGAAACGCAGTCAATAACGAAACAGTAAACACCCGCTGTGATGAAAAAAGCATTAGAATGAAGGATTTTCTTTGCATATCTCCTCAGGACCAAATATTCTGAAGAAGCAGTGGTCATACGTCGAAAAATCCCTAGCTGAAGGCATACATGTGTGGAAGAAGCTAAGGAAACTAAAAGAAGCTAATTAGACAAAAACTAAGAGCGAATAAGGTGAAGCTGTGCAGAAAAAGGCCAGAGCTCACGGCTTTACCCAAGCATCAGCTTCAAAAATACGGGAACCCATTAAAGGAGACAAGCTTTAAGCAAACGAAGAACCAGTTATCAGCAAATGCAACGTAGCAGTGGATAGTTTGGTGACATAGGCGCACCAAGCATACGGATGCAACTTACTATCGGACCTCACACATCGACTACCCGTGACTTAGCTTATGACGAGTTTTT